AATCTTACCTTAGGTGTTATTTGAAATGTATTAAACTAAAGAGGCAGGAAATATTTAAGAAAATAAATATTAATTTATAGAAAAAAAAAAAAAAAATTATTTACTAATACAAAAAATATAAAGCCTGAAAAGACTACTAAGTTCAAAAAGGTATATGATTATTTTTATCGTTTTATTTAATGAACAAAAAATATAAAACCAGATTATTAATAATAATAAATATAAAACCCGAAGAAGTAAACTATTGATCATTTGTAACATTTTATTTGATTAAAAAAAATTATAATAATGAATAAATATATCAGTATATGAGGTGTGGCTATTAAACAACGAGACTGGTTACGAAAAAGTGTTTTATTATAAAAGTTATTCTACATTCAAATGCTCCTCTTCAATATACTCCCCTCCCCTCGCCACACACCGTTTCATTCGTTTCTTCCATTGCTCGAGGCAGTGCTGGAAGTCTGTTTTCGTAAGACCATTCAGGAGTTCCGCCGATTTTTGTTTCACCTCTTCCATCGACTCAAACCGGATTCCTTTTAAGGCAGACTTTATCTTCGGAAACAAGTAAAAGTCGCAGGGTGCCAAGTCGGGTGAGTAAGACGCGTGTTCGAGTACTGGAGTGCCTTAAGCGGCCAAATAACGCTTCACGCTTTACCCTGGTGCAAGATCCACGACTTGTTTTTCCACAATATCGACCGTTTCTTACGAACTCATTCGCGCAATGTTGCCAAAACTGTCAAATAGTAATGTTGGTTCACAGGTTGACCCTCTGGAACCCATTCAGTCATCACGATGCCGTTGATATCGAAGAAAACGATCAGCATGGTTTTGAATTTGGATTACGACTGAATTGGATTCCGGTGCACTCTCGACCTTCAGAAAATAATTTATGCCACTCAAAAACACGCGCCCGAGATAGAAAATCCTCACTATAAGCCACTTTTAACTACTTATAGCACTCAGTTGGAGTTTTTTTTAGTTTAACGAGAAAATTTTACGTTTATCCGTTGCTCATGTTTTTCGTCACACATGGTTTTCGGCACGAGAAAAAAACACGTTCGTTTCAAACCACTACTATACAAATACTATAATAGTGACGAAAACGTGTTTTGGTACGTGCATAGATAAGATATCTAGATACCCAACGCATTACTCGTTTTTTTCACTATTCATCTAGGGCGCCCTCCTCTAGGAGAGTAGTCTCGTTATTTAATAGCCACACCTCGTATACATATATTTATAAGACTCGGAGAAACGATTAAGTTTAATGAAGTACGGAAAAGAACAAAAAAAGAAAATTATATTAAAAAATTAGATCACCTAGAAGATAATAAATTTCGAAGAAGCAAATAATTATTATTTTATAATTTTACTCAATTAACAAAACAATAAAAAGCTAAGATACAATCAAGTCCCTCCTAATGATAAAGCATTATTTTTAAGATTTTATGTTATAATTAATGCGAAACATAAAACCGGAAGAGACTATTCACAATTATTATTTTAAATTATTTTTATAATTATTAACCGCCAAGCTATTCAACCAAGCTATCAGAGGTAATGTATACAATCTTTACATTAAACAATTAATATTTTATCTATATTTATTTTTAGGCTTTAGATCAAAATGATGGTCCGGCATAATTGTATGTAAGAATAACCTTTGTATAGAAAAATAATAATAATAATAAGAAAACATTTCTTCTTCTTCTTATTCGATAGCTTAACGACCCTTGAGCTGCTAATAACAAATCTTTCCATCTCACTCTGTCAAACTAAACTCCACTGAAGCATTTTTATCCACCGTCCACATGTCCTTGCATGTCCACTGCATCCAGTGGTATAGTCTTTGTTTGGTTCCATTAAGGGGATTGGAAGCGACGAGTTTCTGTCTTTGTCTTTGTCTCACACACGTGAGATATAAGGATTTAGACGTGTGTTAATTTCAACTAATCGATTGATTTAGTGAAGCGATACAAATTCTGGAAACAGATTTGAATTTTTCGTGAAATCTAAGTGAGATAGACTTTCCCCCTTTTTAAATTTATCTTCTTGAATTCTAAAAAAAGCCGTATTTATAAATAATTAATTTGAAAAAGCATAGTTAAATTTGGGTTGAAACTGTGTTTAACCCCCACTTTTAGTCCACCAAAGTCGAAATACACACCCATCACCCATCAAAAAATAATTAAGTGTTATTACCCTTAACAGTTTACACAAATAATACAAATTAATAATATACAAGTCCAGTCCAGTGTAGTGTGTATAGTATAATAACAATTATAATTATAATAATAGGTAGCTCTATGGTTATCAAGTATCGCTTTTGGTTATCCAAAAGGACAAAATATTTTACAATTATCAATAGAAGAATATTTATCCAGATAAATGGATAAATGGATAAAAGTAGTCTAATAATGGACTACTTTTATCTATAGTTCTAGAGGGGACGCAAAGCCCCACTATGGATCTAAGGGCGGAGCCCCCATTTAGTAATACATATAATAAGATTTTAAAAATTATATAATGTGTGTTTTATTATTATATTTGTAAATTGTATATTAATATAGTTAAAAGTTCAGTGAATTGTATAGTTTTTTACGATTTAATAAAAAGACCGCTTAAGGAAATTGAAAACGATGAATCTTTGTCTTACACACGTGAGATATAGAGATTTAGACGTGTTTTATTTCCAGCGTACCGATTGATCTAGTGAAACGATAAGAATTGTGAAAGCAGATTTGAATTTTTCATAAAGTCTACTTGAGATCGACTTTTCCACTTTTTTTATTTTTATTTTAATTACTCAAAAATATAAAAAAAAAAAACATTTTTTCAAATTACTCATTTATAAATACGGATTTTTTTAGAATTGAAGGAGATAAATTTAAAAAGTGGGAAAGTCGATCTCATTTAAATTTCACGAAAAATTCAAATTTGTTTGACAAAAACAGAAACGCGTCGCTTCCAATCCCCTAAATGAAACCATACAAAGACTATACCACTGAATGCAATGGGCATGGAAGGATATCTGGATGGTGGATAAAAATGCTTCAGTGGAGCTTAGTTCGACAGAGTGAGATGGAAAGATTTGCTATTAGCAGCTCAAGGGCCGTTAAGCTATCGAAGAAGAAGAAGAAATGTTTTCTTTTTATTATTATTATTTTTTTATACAAAGATTATTCTTACATAATATGCCGGACCATCATTTTGATCTAAAGCCTAAAAATAAATATAGATAAGATATTAATTGTTTAATGTAAAGATTGTATACATTACCTCTGATAGCTTAGTTGAATAGCTTGGCGGTACAATACCTATAGATGTCGATATATGTGAGATAGGCGCTGGCTTATAGTTCACATTTGGTGCTAATAACGTTCTAATACATTCTAATAACTGCTTTGTCGTGAACATTTTCAATTCGTTGATAAAATTAATTTGACTGATTGGTACAATTACTGAATCATTTTAAATACGCATTATGTGCGATTTTGTATTTTCGGTAGCCGAAATGACCACAAAATCGATGCGCACGTTCGACGTTTAAAAAAAAACTTTCGCCAGAATTGGCGAAGTAAATGTGCTCGTACGATCGTATTTTTGTGTACAATTCAATCTTTTTTAACGTGTTTTAGCTTTTGAAGTAAGTTCCATCAGATCTACACTGTGGAATAATACTCAATATCCTTTTTGTATATTCGAACTTAAAACGATTACGTTTTCGATGCGATGTATCGTTACGGATATCCTAACATGTTCGTCATTTAAAAAAAAACTTTTCTGCAACTTGAATAGGAAATTCAGGTAATACCGAGAAAATATTATTCATAAATGAATATACGCAGATTAAAGAATCTGGACCTATCGAAATATATCTCAATGAAGATACAATTCGAATCACTATATTATAATTATCTTAGTTCATCTAATCATGGTTTCTACCACAAATTAATATATAAAACTATTATCGTAATTTATGGTTTACATCACAAACAAATTTGTAATGTTATGTTTACAATACAAAAGAAAAAAACTTTAAATAATAGTCCGTTAGAAGGCAATCATGCTATGATTTCATTGTAGATGAAAATGAATGTTCTAAGAGAATATTAGAGTGATATATATATTTATTATATACTAGCAATGTCATGTAAAACCGCAGGGAATTGAATGAACGATAAAACGATAAACCGACCTTGCGTCCCTATAAAAATGAGTATACAAACGTTTTTTCTCCAGCAATTATTAAGATTGGGAGTTATAAGCCATAAGACGTTTAGTCCCCGGCATATTTTATAGGGCATTAGGTTCTTACGTTTTTAAATCATTATTATTTATTAATTTCTTCAAAAGTTCATTATTTTAATAGATAAAAATCAATTAATACATTTATTTTTAATGAACAATTTAATTTAGAGAAAAAAAAATTATTTTAAAAATGAACTAATGTCTAAAATACCTGTATAAGCATAATGATGTTAACATTTTATACCATTTAAAAACATAATTTATTTAACCTGAAAATAAATAGGTACATCATTATTTTTTATTTATTTTAAGTTAATATAATTGTTCGGTATGGACAGTTATTTGAAAAATCGATAAGGTCGTTCGAGAATATTCGTTATTATTTCGTGGACCTAGTAGTAGGGAGGAGCCGCCGCCGCGACGTGTCGTGACCATTACCGCTAGTGTAGCCACACATACGATAATTATCGTTAGGATAATTTGAACAGTCGTTCGATAAACGATAGAAAAGTTTCTATCGTACGCCAAAATGCGATAATCACGCTGAGAATCGGTTTTCAAAGTACAGATAAATAATATTACAATTCTCAATATAATATTATACATTATAATTTAAAAAAAATAATATTTCGATTACGATAATGTACGACAATTGAACGATTTTAGATTTTCCGAAATTTGGCAACATCGCCAGTCCACACTCCTGTCGACAAGACGCCCAGACCCCAATACTCAGTAGTAGTACGCTAACTGATGTCTTGGTGGTGTCATTGTTCATTTTGATCGTCTCGAACGAGTAAAAGATCAGCGTTCACAGGTACGGTTTTTCTCACAGTCCTATACGTCCGACATGTTTACTTTTTTCTTTATGAAAATAGTAATAACGTCTCAACGGTGGTACGGCATGAGGAAACGCAGGTAACATGTTAAACGTTCGGCGTGTTTTTTTCTTTCTTAATAGGCCATCTGAGGACCAGAGGACGTGAGTCGGTGCAGCCATTGTGGCACGATAATTTCGGCGATTACCGTTCGGGAACGTTTCAAAGTTTCACACTATTTGCGACGTATTTGCGGTCGAGCGGTTGGCTGTCGGCGAGTGAAGCGGAAGGTGAAGGCCTAGCCCAAGATTATTTCCAAGCAGTCAGCGGTCAGCACGATAATGCAGGATAATCAGGTGTGACGCGTTTAATATCACGGTAACACGCGATATCATTGATAATTGTTATCAGTGATACGCGGCTTTTATTATTATTATTATTCGAGTGTACATTCATATCATTATTTATAATTATTATTTGTCTAGGACGGTGTGACCTTATAAGTTATTAGTTATTTATAAGTAATATAATAATTCATAAATTAGTATTAATACGGTGTTAGATAGGCGCCTTTGGTGGTTTTTTTTTTAATGATAATATTTGTATACTATTAGTTGTGTAGTTTTCTTTTGAACATTATACAGTTAATTTGTACTTTATTTTTATGGTTTTGGTATTATCTTAGTACCTACTGGGTTCTTGTTATAGTGTACTTAAGTGTAGTTGCTACACAATTAACAATAGGTTATTGTGATTATTTAAATTTTCATTATTTGCAATTATATTGTATGATTGTATATTTGTACTTTTAGTATTGTCCTTTAAACATTACATTATTTATTAAAAATGAATGTATTAATTTTTAGAGAAATAATGAACTTTTGAATAAATTAATAAATTAAATAATAATTCAAAAAGTCTGATAAGCTAACCAAACTTAAAAATTGACGTCCACGATTCTTGTTAAAGGGTCATAAAACCATAAATATCTAATAAAAAAGAAGTCACTAATACCAATTTTTGTTACTTATGATCCAACTGTTCACAATAATAAACATTTTTGGTGCTTGCAAAAACCACTTAAATATCAATTAAGTAAATTCTGTTTGTGATATTAATACCAGAGTCCAATCTATCTAAGTCACATTAAATACCAAGTTACAGGATACAAATTATTAACAGTATCTTTATCAATGAAATTGAATTCATAGTAAAGTAATTTTAATAAATGTATTATAATTTTAACCAATAATCATATTAAACATTACTTACTGTATTCAAATTTAAAATATCTTATAGTGAATAATTGTTATCTTAATAAATTATGCTTTTCACTTATTAATATGTGAAATTAAATTATTCAACACATTAAATTATGTGTTATGTAATTAAATATTAGGACTATACATAACATATAATTATTGATACAAACTAATATAATTATTGTTGAAGAACTCACTTATGTAATTGATTATTTTCTAATTTGTTTACCAATAACTTTCCAAGTCACCTGTGATCTTAAACTGCTTGTGTATTCAACAAATCAAAACTAAAGCTTTCAGCTACTATTAACTTATGTGCTATGCCTGCATTGTGTTAAAAATTTAAGAACTTTTAGAAATCATAAAGTAGCTCTAAAAATCAAACTGCTGCCCCGCTGAACCAGAAATGCAATATGAGTATTTCACTTGCCAAGTGCCAATCCTATTTCCAACTATTTTAACTTATTGTTAACAGAACAATCCTGACAAAGTTCATTTTATATTAAATAATACATTTTTTTTTGTTAACTATAATTTACAAAAATTGGATATTTTAATTTTCACTATCTTTGATCAATATTTTTAAATACAAATGTTGATATATAAGACTAAATATTGTTTTATATTAGTTTGCTATCAGACATCAATTATAATGCGCACAATTGAGTCTTGTTAAAGTAATAGGAACCAAATATTTTCTGGATTGTATCATGCTTAACTTTTAAAATAGTTTTATATCTAATTCCAATATGTAGGGCTTGATTTCTCAAACATTTATTTATTTTAGAACTAATAAAAATTAAAATAATTAAAAATTTAATCAATGTAAAAATTAAATTTAAAAATTGGTAATCAATGTAGATACTATTTGATAAATATTTTAAATAACCTACAAATATTGTCTATAAATAATTATATAAGTCATTAGTTATCTCTAAGTAGATACAATGAGAATTTATGAGATCATAAAAATTTAACTCGATAATTTATTTAAATTTAATAATACTTGAGACAATGCAAATGCAAAATGCATGTATAATGATTCATATATTTCATAGTCTACCACTCTAAGAGATCAATTGTTCTATATGTACTATTACAAAACATTTACTTGATGAAAAATCATTTAAGCTTGAAAAAGTTTTGGCCAAGTTTCGTTGATACTTTATCAGTAGCAAATCAAATTCTTGAATTAATAAATCAATTTAAATTTCAAGGCAAACACACGTTTTAAATTTGTTGATAAAATTAATTTGACTGGTGAATACAAATACTGAATCACTTTAAATATGTATTATGTGCGATTTTGTATTTTCGGTAACTGAAGTGTCCACAAAATCGATAAGTAATACTCGACATCCTTTTTGTATATTCGAACTTAAAACGATTTTCCCAGCGATGTACCCTTACGGATATCCTGACATGTTCCTCATTTAAAAAAAAAAATGTTCTGTAACTTGAATAGGAAATTCACATAACACCGAGAAAATATTATTCATAAATGAATATACGCAGATTAAAGAATCTGGACCTATCGAAATATATCTCGATGAAGATACAATTCGAATCACTACATTATAATTATCTTAGTTCATCTAATCATGGTTTTTACTACAAACTAATATAAAAAACTATTATCGTAGTTTATGGTTTACATCACAAAAAAATTTATAATGTTATGTTTACTATACAAAAGAAAAAAATACTTTAGATAATAGTGCGTTAGAAGTCAGTCTTACTATGATTTCATTGTAGATGAAAATTAATGTTCTAAGAGAATATTAGAGTAATTTATTATATACTAGCAATGTCATGTAAAACCGCAGGGAATTGAATGAACGATAAAATGCTAAATGGACCTTTGGTCCATGTAAAATGAACAATGTCAATGAACACCAACGTGTTGGGCTTGATTTGTCAAACATTTATTTATTTCAGAATTAATAAAAATAAAAATAATTATATTTTTTTATTTTCAGGCCGAAAATCGGGTGGTACAAAAATTTCCAGAAAGAATTGTCTATTTAAATGAATTGCTAAAAAAGCCAGAGTTCTGTCTCTCTGAAATAAATTTAAAATGCAACTTAGAACTCCCTACAGAGTTCCAATTGGGAATTAATGTGAAAAAGTGAGTTGGTTTAAGTTTAGATACCATTTAAAAAAATGGTTTCATTAAAAAAAAAGATACAGTGAAGTTTATCCTTAACGTCCATAATAAATTAATTGGCTTTTTTTATTTACCTACACTAAAATATTTACTCTTGATTAATTATTATATTTCATAATACATTTTGAAAACAAAAAATGTAATATGTATAAACAAAATTATTACAGAACAATAAAACTATTATCAATTAAAACAGTGGGTTACTGAAATTAATGCAGATCGATTATTGTAATATTGGTCCAGAACATTACTAAATTTTTTTTGTAGTGTGAATTGAGTTGAAGTAATAAATAAATTCAAACATTTGATTTATTACAGTTGTGATGAAAAAAATCCTCGTAAAAGTTTAGATTCAAAACAACCATTCATACCATCTAATAAGAATGTTACTGAAGCTTTTAAAATTATTAAACCCAACATCCAACAGTTAATTGAAGACACTAATGCTGTAAGTGAAATACATTTATATTATACAGGGTGGGCCCAAGAAATGGAAAAATTTGAAATAAATCAAAAACGTTTAAAACTGTTTTTCAATATTTATTGTTAAAAACATAGAGTACATAATATACCATTTTGGGTTTAGAACATTAAAATATTCTGTTCGGAAAAATATATCTGGAAGATGGTGTCCATTTTTCTGTATGCATTCCCGGAATCATGTGTAGAGGTTTTGCATTACTCTTTGCTACTGTATAGCATTCGCCCAACAACACTTCTCCAGTTAAAGACACGAATCCAAGAAGAAATTGATTTAATTCTCATAAGATGTTAAAGAGAATTATGCAAATCCTCCACACACATACCAGGAATGTATACAGAGAAATTGACACTATTTTTACGGATATTTTTTTCCAAACTTGATATTTAGTGTTTTGAAACTTAACATTTAACAGTTTTAACAATAAATATTGAAAAAAAATGTTTACACTTGTGAGTTATTTTAAATTTGTCCATTTCTCGGACCCACACTGTACAATCCGATTTGTTATTTATAATAAATATTTTATTTAGCTTAAAATGTGGGTGTCCTTATTAATTCCAAAAATCGAAGATGGCAACAATTTCGGGGTATTTATTCAAGAAGGTACTCTTGTTCAAATACTACAGGTCGAAAATGAAGCTACCAGTTATCTTAAACACGCGACTCAATATTATGCAGCTCGTGGAAAACTAATCACTAAGGTTTGTATTTATCTAGATATTTCAGTAGCAGTAATACAAGTTTAATAAATAATAATTATTAATACCACGTGTGTGTCATACAAAAATGACTGGTTCTCTAGCTATACAAATAATCATTTCATATATTTAATAATAATTTTACCAACAAATTTATTCAGAGTGGAGTTTTTTATACATGTTTTGACAGGCGTAATATTGTTAAGGTTTTGTTAAAAATTAAATCTTAAAACAATTATAAAAATAATCACCAGTATGTTTTGAAAATTTGTCCATGATCAGAAAAGGCTAATACAAAGTGATATTTTTTATCATGAACTAGAAATTTTCTTACAGTTGTCAATTTATCATTTAAAAATAGATATGCATTTTTATTGCCCTTCTCTACTTCTCTAGTCTAAACATTAAACAGTTATGATTCATAAACTGCAAACCTAATATTAGTTTTATGAATATCAAAATTTCTATTAAAATATTATCTATTCGCATCTATGTTCAAAAAGGGATTATTTTAAACTGATTTAAGATATATGGAGTAGGTGTAAAAAATTAAAACTAATTTTAAAATGAAGTTTGAACAATTCCATAATGATAAATTAAATTCATTTAAAATCCACTAAGAAAATGTTTGGTTCATGATAAAAAGAAAATCATTATGTATTGTACATAAGTAATTCTGTATAAAAGTATTCTGTGTACATTTTAGCTCTCAACAATAATTTTCAACCTATTCACAACATAATACTCATATTGAAAATAACAAAACCATTAATGCCTTAAACTTTCTATTTTACTTGTTTTCTTTTTGGTTTTTCCAAGATAAGGGGTTGAAAAATAAATAATATTTCTTTCTTACTCACTAACTAGGTTCAAAATTCAAAAATAAAAATAAAAGTTCTCTTGTAGTTTCAAGTGAAGCAAGTTTTTTGATAGAAAATATTTAAAATATTGAACCATCACAGTGTTGAAAAAATTATTATTAATTAATGATATTTTCAAATATTATTAAATTTTGGATTTTAATTATTGAAAAATGAATTAATACATGTTTCAAAAATTTTACATGTACCTACTTGGTATTTTTTTTAACTTTGAATGTAAGATTTATATAATATATATTGTACATATAATATAACAATTATAATAGATTTGTAATTAAATATAATCTATATATTTTTTAAAATATAAAATACTTCTATTCTGAACTAATGCAATAAAATAAACCTAAATATGATATTTAAAATGTTTATAAAATTGATTGAATTTTTTTAACTGGATAATATGTTTGTATAAGTACTTTATTTGTTAATTGTCTAAATAGCTTATAATAACATAATGTTAAACTTTGAGTGTAGTATCATAGTTTTATTATAATATGTGTGTATAAATATTGAGATTAATTATTGTGTATGTTTTATTGTCTAAATTGAATTAATTTAATTCTTCTAATGAATGGGGAGCTAAGTGTTTCACCCCACCTGAAAAATTTAAAAACTCTAATTGTTTAATACCATTTGATATTGTTAGTAATTTTTGTAATAAGGATGTCTAGCTATTTAACTTTAGTTCTATTATAGATTAGCCAAAAATTGTATTTTAAAAAAAAATTGTTATAATTTTTAAACTGTTGTTCATGTTTTAGGTGGTGAAATATCCTTATGTAGAAGATTATAAACTAGCAATAGATGAATTGGACAAAAAAACGTATGTATCCATTGCCATTGTTATGCATGATATACGCAATCATTATACTACATTGTACGACATTGTGATCAAGAACATTGACAAAATAAAAAAACCTCGGTCCTCAAACACTACTAGCTTTTATTAAGAAGAATAAATGATCTGTACTCGTTTATTTAGATTTTCTCACCTTTATCATTCAAACATATGCAATGAAATCCTATAATATTTGAACATATTAAATATACAATTTAATTATATACCTATTGGAATATATTTTGTAAGTAGTTACCTGAAAGTGTATATTTTACAATCATGAGTATCAATAGTAATTTTCTATTATCACATTTAACTTAAAAATGCCCAAGCCAAATTTTTTTACTGATTGGTGATCATGTTTATATAATTATTCATTGTCATTTCATTATTTTAATTTCATTACATATAATTACATTTCATTATTATAATTCATATAATGAAACTTTATGCTACTTTTAATACCTTAAAATAAACCGCTATAAATAATTGTCTAAATAACAAATATTACATTTTATAATTCGATATAATATTTATATTAAGTAGGGTGTACAACACATTCCTTGTAATAATTTAACTCATGGTAGGCATTACTTATTTATAGACATAGTGTTTATTTGTTAATGAGTTTTTAAATAAACAATTATATAAAAGAAAAAAAAATTAGAAATTAGTTATAAATTGTAAATAATAATTAACTTAATTTTTCTATTAACTCTTTTTCATATTTCAGCCTTTACTTTTTATATTGGAATTTATATTTATATTTTCTGTGTGGAGCATTTAGTCATAGATCATTTTTGTGATTCTTTCACTATGATGAACTTAAAATTAGTTTAATACTATCTTAAATTATTAATTGAATGTAGTATTTTGATTTAGGGCTTAATAATATTGCCTTTTTATTATTATGTATGACATAAACGATTTGTATCACTATAAACATTTGATAATAAAAATCATACTATATTATTCTAGTCATTATTGATTGTTATTTGATTTATATAAGTTCTATGTTATAATTTATTTTTAAAATGTATTATTATTTTATAGTGTCAATTATGGCGGTTTAGCATTTGCCCTATTAGATGAAATAGAAGGGAAAAGGCGAAATAGAGCCTTTACTTTCAATAAATCTCTTTCAAAAGATATATGTAATTCTTTTCATTTTAGTGATTTTAAATTTATCACACCATATAGGCTTAAAAAAACACAATATTTTGATGTTAATTGTTTATTTGAAAAAATTAATTAAGCGCTAGAGTTCAAGTAGGTTTAAACTTTAAATCTTTACTATACATTATACCTACTTATAATTATATTGTTATGATATGTATAATTAAGTATCTACTTAAATATTATAGTTTACATAGTAAATGCATTGTGGAATTTAGGTATTTGTTATGATCCAGTTTTTGGCTACAGGCACTTACCAAAGATTAATAGGTAATGGTTCTTTGTACCTGATTAGTCAGTCTAGTGTTAGTAGGCGCATTACCAAATTAACTACTGATATAGTTTTAATCTTTACCCAGAATAAGTACACTTCCCTCATTAAAGAGAGCAAAAATATCAAATGAGCAATTATTATTATTGATTATAAAGGTAATACAATTAAAAATATACTCACTGATAATTATGTTACCTATATTAAAGATTTTAACAGTTGAGTTACTACCTAAGAATTGTATGGTACATCGATTGCATGCAAATTGAAATTGTAACTCCTACTGGGCATACCACATTTTTAAAGACTTCTACTCATTAATTGTGCAGATGGTAAAATACAATTAATATAGTTAGATAATTACTTATTAGTAATGTTTAAAACATTAGAAAATTAAACCATTCCTCTATTTACAATATATATTTTTATAAGATTCCATGAAATCTTTAAGTTTTTAATTTTAATTAAATGAATAGGTATTTTATGTAAATTTTTGTACCACTAATGTGTATGCTGATTCCCTGGTAGTGCCTATGACCAATTTATTTTTAGAATTTGTATTGTTATAACAGAAATGGACAGGCTACATGCAAATAATATTGGTCGATTTTACCTTCTCAAGATTCAGGATATACATCAGCTATATATGCATCAATTTACAAAAAAATCATTTATTAGTCAGAATTTTCTTTTCTATGCAATCATATTATTATATTATAGGTATTAGATAGTATCAATCAATCAATTTATATTAATAATTTATGTTACTAAACAATATTGTTATAATTGAAAAGAATTTTTTTTAAATTTAAAAAACAAATTATAAAAAATAAAAGACCATGTCTGACAAAAGTTTCAACCACCAAAACTTCTCTAAAAATATATTTTACAAAATGGCTATTTTGAATCTTGACTAAGACGGAAGGAAATTTGTTGAGCAGAATTTGTGCTTTCATTATTCAAATTATTTTTCTTTATTTATCGTGTATGTGTTATTCTTCTAAAACTGAATTAATGTAAATGTTTTTTTGGGTATTTAATATTTCTAAGTCTGTATTAATATCAAAACTTATATTATGGTTATTTATTAAAACATGTTTAGTGAAATTTGAATTAGTGGCAGTCTTTTTTAATTTTATTTCAGAAATGTGTTCTTTATATTTTATTTTAAAATTTATATTTGTCTTACCTATATAAAATTTATCAAAATTACATTACAGTTTGTTTTGCATTAACTTTAAATCCCTTGAATCCTTTACTAAATGTTTAAAGTTATAATGTTTTTGGGAATTTTTTAATTTAATTTTTGTAACAGTGAACTGTTAATAAAATGGTTTGTATCTTCAAACAGTATGACTGAGAAGAAATCTGTACGAATTGAGGATTTATATGTTCGTGAGGGTAATAATAGAGAATGTTCGGTAAAAATTTTACAGTGGGAAGCTACTGCAATTTTATCAATGCCTTCTATAGGTATCCTAACTCGTTGAGAAACCCCAAGGTATTGTTATGGTAGTGTTTTCTATGAAGTAAACTCATTAATTTTCTCTTAACAATCTCTGGCATACTGTAGACCACCCCGTGAAAATTTTGGTTTGACAAATTGATGGTAATGTCGATGGTATTTTGAATAATTCCAGTTCAAAACTCCTTCCTGTTAATTTGAAATAGATTGGCTGTTCATTTGGGCACAAGTACAAATTGTCTAGTAATTTGCACATTTTGTAAAATACGTTTCGTAAAGTCTGGGTGCTATAATAAGGATTTTACTTCCTTAGGTTTTCCTGTTATTGAAAAGTTGGTCAAACGTGCTGTTTTCATGTGGTCTAGTTTGATTCCTTCTTCTGATATTATGTGCCCCAAATAATTGACCTCTCGCCGCATGAACTCTTCGGTCATCCCCTCCCGTGTCCAGTGCTTCCGTTTTTACGGTATACGACAAGGTAGGTGATTATTTTATTTGTAGAATTATATCCTTTCAATCGGCAGTATTTAGTGTTATAAGTACGCGTTCTACAACGACTGCAGTACCTTGAGTTTCTACTGTCGTTGGGTTTTGGGTTTTTGAAGAATCGCTGTGTTTCTAACTGATGTTTTGCCCGATCGGCCCGAGCAAATTTTACAATTGATGTACTGTATTGTTCACTAGCTGGAATAATGCGTCTGTATTTACAGTGGCGGCGGTAGTTGACCTGGTGACAGGCCTGTGAGAGTATTGTATTTGTACCTCCCCGTCCCTACTGTCGTCGTTGACGTCCGCGCGGTCGAGCGAATACTCGTCGTCGGAATTTGCTGACATGCACCCTTTTATTATTATTTTTTTTTACACTTCAAATCGGTGAAGCTTACTCAGGTCTGATGCAATAATTTAATTTAGGTACGCAAAAAAAAAAAAAAATGGTTATAATTTAACTCTTTATGATATAATATGAACAGGAATGAATTTACCAAATTTAAATATTGACGCTTCGTCTTTTTACCTAAAATAATTGAACAAAAACCTAGTACCACAATATCTAGTAGGACTTGGACAAATTTTCAAAACCTATAGAACCTATAATACTTTAAGAGACAATTAAGTCCAAAGAGGTAAATTATTAACCTTTTTTATTATTTTATTTGATAAAAAAAAAAAAAATGATAGTAACAATAGTAATAAATAAAAATATAAGTATATAATATATGTTACGGTCATGTATTAAGATATATATATCTAGATATAGATATATCTTAATTCCTGCTTACAGTTAATGTTGTAAAATGGGTTAATGTCGTTATATTTATACTTTTTAGATGTAAACATTTTATGCTATTAGTTTTAATACTAGAATATATGAGCTTATTAACAAACTTGAAATTAAGAACATTGTCTGTTTTTTGTACGTCTTTTATTGGTGTTTTAATTTTTAAGTAAGTTACAAAAATGGGAAATATTACAATAGGGATTGAGGGTTTTTAATTTTTACTTATGTAGAAACTTAGTTTTCCTAAAAAAAATAAGGGTAGTCAATTAAAATTGGAAACTACTCTTATTTCTTAAAGTTGAGATGTTTAACATCCTAATAAATTTAATTAAAATAATTTTCTTGTTAAAAACAAAAGAATAACAATATTTTCGTTCTTATTCCTAAAATTATTGAATTAATTCACGTTCATATTCCTTCAAAAAATAATGGAATTAATTCCATCAATTGTTCCTCTAATAAGAAATCAATTCCAGGAATTGTTCTTTTAGGAACTTGTTTCTTAACAACACTGATTATATTTATAAAACCTGAAGATTAAGTTTAAAGAGGTAAATAATTATTATTTGATTAATAATAAAGTATAAAACCTAAGAGACAATCAAGTTTGTCAACTGCCGTCCAACAACTCCAGGATCACGTAAGGATATCACTCTAGTGTTCCAATACCGTGGGCAGATAAAACATAGTTTTAATTTATTAATCTCGTTACCATTATCGGATTCACGATCCAAATCTCTTCAAACATCAGTAGGAAACTAGTAATTTAATTAGTAAGCTAAACTTTAAACAATATTTAAAAAAATAATTCATTTTTTGTATTACCAAAACCAAACTAAACCAATTATTTTATATATATACAGGATGTATCAGAAAAGACTGGCCAACTCTACGAATTGTGGCTCTATATATGGCTATAAGAATTGGTTTTTTGGAATTTTTGTTTTCTTATCAAAACTTTGATTTTACCCGTTTTATTTGTAAAATACCCATACAAAATAAAAATAAACCATTCCAGAGAATTTATCGCAAAATTCTCTTACGAAATAGTGGATCACTCGATTTTTTCCAAAAATAATCATTATCACTACTATTTTTGGCTTATCATGTCCAAAATCGTAATTTTTGTGTGACACATGAATTTGTATGTAAATTTTCAGGGATTTCAATGAAATACATTATTTTTTATTTAAGCGTCAACTTAACTATCCTATCCGTAAAATACGACTCATTTGACTGTAAAAAACATTAAAAAAATGCATAAATTCAGTTGTTTTTATTGAATTGTTTTATAATTAATTATTATCAGATAATAAAGAAATAATATTTAAAGTAAATGTTCAATATGACCTCCGTGTACTTCAATACATTTAATTGCAATTTTAATTAATTTATGATTTAATGTAGGGTCAGTTGTACTAATAAATAATAATATATTTAAAACCTCTGATTATATACTAATTAAAAATTGTTTATAATCAATCACATTTTACATTTTGACTCAGTGGCATATTTATGACGGGGGGGGGGGTGGAGGATATAGGGGATGGATCTACTCCCTTGCCTTTTTTTTATGTAAAAACACAAACACAATAAATCACATATTTTGTAATCTATTAAACTACTTTTATATTTTTAACAGTTGAATATCTAATATTATACACCGACTAAGTCACTCTATTATTCTGTGAGTATCATTAAACAATAATAATAACAAAATCAAAATTATGTACACCGTGTATCTATGGCAGAAAAAAAAAGCTAGGGGCCCGGGGCAGTGATCGCTGCCTAGTTGCCTTAACCGGGCTGACTCTAGGTACTGTAGATAGTATTGTTAATAATTCTTTATGTATAATATAATTATGTGGATTAGTTGTAAAATAATGAATGTTATGAACTGTTTGGCCACACGTGAACAGGTGAACTCGATTGAAAACGTCTATGATTAACTATCAGTTGTCATTTGCAAATGGGTGATTTGTTTACTCATTCAAACCAATTTAAAATGTGACTGTTTTAAAAAAACCTCAGTTGTGACGAACAAATGACTTAGTATGCAGTAAACTTGTATATTTTTTAATTTTTTTAATACAGAGTAAACTTCAATTTACAAGATATGAATTTTATATTAAAATTGAATAATGTGTTAAAATTAAGGCTTATACTAAACTCAATTAATAACTGATGTTAAGTTAAAAAAAATAATACAAAATGATAAATACCTAATGACAATCATAATAATAACAATTATGAGTAGCAATAATTTCTGTATCATTTTTTATGGTTAAATGATACAGCTATAAAGATTAGTGACAAATAATTACATACTATAAAAAAACATAATACAGTAATAGATAAAATAACTTTCATAATATGATTATACATTTAAAGAGGTGTTGATATCCCGTAGATTACAAAAAACATAAATCAAGCTTCACCATTTCAAACCAATTAATATTATAAATGACATATTATTAAAAAAAATAAAATTTAGTTTTAATTTAATTTTTCCACTTTACAATAAAATACACTTAAATCAAATTTGAAATTGTATTTATCATTCTTATCGATTAAAATAATTCTTAACACGCATAAAAAAATAAATAAATAAATAATTTTTTTCACAATCCAGTGTAAGTTATAGTCTGTCTCTATCACTTAATATTTGGACTAGCCATAGAAATAATATAAGAATGGATAGGCTAGGAAGTGGATGAGAGTTTATCACAAGAGAACGAACATTTTTATAATTTGAGGTACAAGAAGTTTTATCAATAAAGTTGTTAACTTGATCAAAAATAATCAATATTTCATAACTTATTTTACTTTTATTTAGTATGAATTAAGTAGTTAGTTAAATTTAATAATATAGCCATTAGTGCTTTATAGCCATATTACAATCATTATTTATTATGTAGTAATATTCTGACAAAAACATTAAAATTATACTATAATTAATAATTACACACCTACATAATACGCTATTAGAAAAAAAATAAACATATAAATCTGTTAAATTACAATTCTAGTTTATGAAAATTTGGTATAATAATAGCAGGTATTCAATTGAATTTATTCGTATCTGAAATGGATAAGTTTGGTTTGGATAAGTATATCATCTTTAATCTTTTTAATTTCGTGAAAAACCGATAATAATATCAAATTTGATTGAAATACCTACTTTAAATTGACCTCATATACAGAAATCAAATATAATTTATTTTATTTGGTTTTAGTCTTATTTATTTTAAACACACCGATTTGTACTAACGAATTTCTCAAATTGTCTGTTTTTCCCCAAAAAATTTAATCAATTCGCACCGGTTTGTACTAACGAATTTCTAATATTATCCATATTTCATCTTAATCATTTCTTATCTATACTACACAAAATCTGATACCATGATACAATTATTGCAGGAAACTTACTATCATACACCACAGTTTTACATAGGTTGTCTATAAACATGGGCGTGACCAGTTCAAAGACATTATATAATACGTATTATAATAAGGTATGTCTAAACATAGGACAGTAGAAATGAACGCAGCCAGAGTACAAAAATGTGAAACAAAATTATAGCAAGTCACTCGAATGCGTATAGACATACCCGTTTATTTTATTGTCTGGTTAGTGATGGGTTTCTTTTTGCTCATACTTTGTTTTGTTGTCATAATGTACACAATTTAAGAAAATAAATCTGTCGAGTACGATAATTTATGATAATTAAACACATGTTGTATGATTCTAGGTTTTACGAAATCAGGCAACACTGGTGATAAAAGCAATCTGTCTCTCATTTACATTTCGGAGAGCAGCCGTTGTTAAATTAAATATTAATATAATATAAGAGTGGTCTATGCAATCATATATTACCTAAGGGACCTATAGACTTTAGCGACGTATGAGGAACGCAGAGATCATTTCTCAACGTGTCAATTGTGTGAATGTGTGATTTACAGTTAACTGAAACGTCTCAATCACTACCATAATATTTTATAAATAAAATACTTATAATAAATACCAAGCAAACAAAAAGCCAGATATAATGAGTGGAAAGAATAAAAGAGATGGTGATATTCTCAAATCTTTTCAGAAAAAATATAAGAAAAATAATGAAGAAACCTTAATATTAAATAAAGTAAGTAATAATTCGAGATTTTAATTATTAAATAACAACGTTAAATGTAATTACTTATTAATAAAGTTTTATTAGGTTATGTATTGATGGTACATATTAGATTATAAATTTAATGATATTTTGTAGGAGCTAAATGTTGATAAATCATTGCAAGTTGATACTAAAGTCAATCAAGAGGGAGAAACATCCGATGATAAATCTGAAAGCCAAGTTCAGGTATCCAGTGTAGACACAATTTAACAAATATTTCAGGTTTACCTTTATTTAGGCACCAACAGAAAATATAGGAATTCATAAAGTTTTCTCAGAAGGTTTTGAATTTGTGGTACTT